TTAATGTTGACGGAAGACACTGAGGCGCAGCATGACCCTTTGTTGAAGTCCAAAATCTAAAACAGGAGTGCTGGAGCTCTTTTCTTGTTGAGGTCAGAGAGGCTTTCTCAGTTCAAACCCCCTGTTGGATGAGAGACAAAACAAGAAAGGAAAGCCAGTTGCCCTTTCTCTAAACCTGTGTTTATTGTTTTTATGCTATTAGTGTTTAGCATATTTTTAGCTGATGTTTTCCTTAGTTCATATATTAGATTTTATTACTATTTTTCTTTTACATTTTATTGTTGGATGTAACTGGGACCCTGTGCACATAATTTTGTTCCACCACATGTACCACATGTGGTGCTTATGGCAATAAAGAATATCTGTATCAGTAAACTTGGGATTTACCGTGTTACTGTTGATCTACACAAACCCCTCGTTAAAATAATCAGATTCTGTCATCTGGTGGTGAAATTGAGAAAAAATAAAAATAAAAAACTGTTTTACCTGTAACTTTCACCAGCATCTTTCTTCAGAAAGTATTTAATAAAGTTTAGATTTTCAGTTATTAATGTTTCAAATCTCAGAAATGAACTGGATTAGAACAGAGCATTGATTTAACCGACGTGACACTTTAAAGTTTTTGAGTTGCTAAATGGTGATCAAATAAAAAAAAAAACAGATGTATTAGTTTGGACAGATTATAAATTATCTTTTGTATCTGTACAGCAGCCCTAACTCTATATTTACTCATCACAATGAAAGAAAAATAAATTTATAACGTTTCTCTCTTTAAATGTTAAATGAATAAAGTTGTTTCTCTTTTAATATAATAATCTTCACACGTTTGAGTCAGCATTCAAAATGAAAGTGACAACTTTTCTTCAGTTTATTTCAGTTTGGGAGCAAATAAACTAATGAAACAACAAAAAAGCATTGAAAGTTTGGCAAATAAAGAAACACAAATGGTGAACGAGGGATACTTAATGAAGTAAACTGTTTAACTTTAGCCGTCCCATGTTTACCACGTAATTTACTCCAGAAAACGTTCTCCTGTTAATAAATTGCTGTATGATTATAATAAAATTTCTACTAATATTGTCATTATTTCCACTTTTCAGTCACAGTTCAAAGTTTTAAAATGTTTTTAATTTGAAAAACAAGTTTTTATTCAGTTTGATGGAAACAAAAACATCATTTACGATGTCTTAAACTACCACAAACTACAGCAGCACGCAAAAAGATGATTAAAAGTGCGTGAATATTTTGTTTAATAAACTGTGAAATTAGATGCCTAAAGTTATGCTTTATGTAAAATGAGTTTTTGAGACTCAAACACCAGTCAAGGACATAAAAACAGACTTTTATCTTATCTCTGCGTGAGATAACTCATCTCAGCGCTGCTCTTTAAAAATGACAAGAGTTGGGTTAAGAAAAATGTTAAAACTAGCCGAGTGCAGCTCAGTTAATTTAAACAAGTCATCTCAGAGTACTGTATATAAATATGTACATTATGAAATGATAATTAGTAAAAGTTCATCTGACTAAGGAATGCTGAATGTTTTGTTTATTTGTTTCCCTTCAGTGCAGACCTGCATTTCAGAAATGCCTATCAGTAGTGTATATAGAAAACTATGGTAGTAAAAACTTTGCAAACTTTAAACTTTGCAAATAATATCTAACAAAGTTAAGTCAGGTCCTCTGGATGGATGCAAAAAGTAAAAAATATAAATGTTTTTTTATTTAATTTTTGCATCCAGCCAGAGGACCTGACTTAACATTGTTAGATTTTTCTACATGCATTATTGAGCACGCATCAGGAGATATACAAAAAATACTTTTAATTTTAGCAGTTTATGTCATATATGTTTTCCATTTACAGTTTCAGTTCCTGTTGTAGATTATTCCAAAATGAAGGAACAGAGGAGCAGAATATGACTTTTAATGCACATTAAAAGGGTTAGTTGAGAAATGAAGGACTGTGTTTGAGAGACATTTAGGCAGAAATGAGGATTTATAAATGAATTTGTACCAATATAATTTCTTACAAGTAGCCATGATGATCTCTGGGGGGTACAGGATGCAGTGGTGGGTTGGGGGTCTACATCCTGTTTTTAGTGCTTTCATTTAAACACGCCTGCACTAACAGTAGACTGAGGCAGAAAAACAAGGAAAAACAATGGACAACCACCACTGTTTGACCCTACTTTTCCTTTCAACACGTTTGTTTTCCACACTGTGCGTCATTCCTGAACTTTCCCTGCTTTATTAAGATGCAAATACATTTCTGGGTAAGTCTGAGTGTAGATCACTGCTGCAGTTTAGTTTTTGATCAGCAACTAAAGTGTAAATAGCTTGTTAGGATGGTGTTCCCCCAGGAGATGGCAACATAAGCAACCTTTAAGACTCGATTTGAGCAGCCGAGGGTAATCTTTGACAAAGTTTGCACAAAACAAAACTGTCAAATCATAATGTTTGCAACGTTTAAATAAGCCCAAACATTTGGTTGAACTGCAGGCAGGAAGGACTGATCTGCAGATGGTTTTATTCACATTTATTTACATTTTTAGACCTGTGTGGTCTGCTTCAGCAGGAACGTAGGTTTCTTTTCAAGGCTACAGCAAGGTGCATTTAGCTTCAATACATTAGAAACATAATTTTGTACATTTTTTAAATACATATACATTTAAAAACAAAACGATTTTTAATAATGGTAGCTTGTGTTGCTAATTAGTTCAAGCACAGCAACTTTTAGTTGACCATTTCTATGAAAAACGTAGCAAAAATATTTTTTAAGTCATATCATAAAGAAGAATTGTATATTTATTTAATATATTTATTTAATATTAAAATTAGATGGAATGGTGTCCATGCTAGGTGCAATATGTGCATGTCAATTAAAGAAAATTGTCATTGTTTGTATTTTTTAAATGACAAATGTAGAGATATGGTCATTTTATCTATGTTGATATTAAATGATTGTTGTCCATTTGAGTTTTTGTGTTATTTGTTTGTGTAAGGAGTTGAGTCACAGGAATTTAAACAATTAAAAAAACAAGAGTAAACAATTTCACACCATTTAAAAAAAATCCAACTACCGGTAATTAAAAGTTCCTTCAGAAGCGTCCCTAGTAATGACTATACCAACAAAATAATAAAAACAATAACTCTTTTCTGTAACACAATCTGTCTTTGTGTGAATACTCATCACTTAAATTCAATTTACAGTCATTGAGGGGGAGTGATGCCACAGAGGTTAGAGAAGGTGGGCCTTCCGGTATCGACAACATCAAAATGCGGGTGGGAAAGGTGAAACACCCACACCTGTCTCCACCCTCGTTTGCACCACTCTGAGCCCTTGAGCAAGGCTCTTAACTCCCACCATCTACTCCCCCGGGCACCCTAGATGGCAGCTCCCTGCTCCACACAGAGGCCTGTGGTAGCTCGGTGGTCTGTGATTGTGTGAGGAAGGGCATCTGGTGTAAAAACAATCACCAAGTCTTGGTGTGAGTTAGTTCGCTGAGGCGACCCCTGAAGAAGGGAGCAGCCAAAAGAAGAATAAAAAGCCATTGTACCACTTTACAACAAATCTATGAGAATGAGCTCACAGGCCTCGTTCATTTCCAGGTGTACTTCTGTTGCCTCATATTGATGAATCAAAGAGTAAAGTAATGTTGGTGTTGGTCAACCCTACCATTCAAAAAGGAACTACGTTTTGACCCTTATGTTGTTTTCAAGCAAAACCTTCCTCCATCTTGATCAGATAAAAAAAACAATGTTGTAGACAACAAAAAAGGTTGAATCATGTCATCTGGACTTCGTTTTTTTT